ACCATAAGAAGGTCACAGTGACCTACTTTAATATTTGAGGTACTTATTGGTTAGAACCAACAATCTTTGTCAATTAATGCATCTTGAGTCCTCAGAAAGTTTCAAATCAAAAAGTAGGTCACCATGTCCTACTTATGGTATTTTATAGCTATACTGAAATATCTTCAGTCCTAATTGGCAAAGAGTCAGTTCATGCATCTTAGGATACTTAGAGTAAGAGGCTTCAAGAAGTGATAGATTGTACAATTTTTCAGAAGAGCGATTCAAGGCCCTTGGGCCTCTTGTTTTAAAAAAATCTTTTCCTGTTTGCAGGAAGGCCTTTTGTTGTAGAAATGGATGATCCACATAAAGTTGAATTCTCGGCAAAAGATATCCTGGAAATACAAAAGGCAATATATATATTTTTTACAAAGCTTAAGTAAAATTGCTATGTTAATCTTATGCTATTAGTTTGCACTTATTTTCCTGACTCTTGGCAAGTTTCCAGACATATATATTTTTTTGGGGGGGGGGGGGGGGGGGGGAAGTAAAAAAAGATTTTCATTTAAAATAAGAAACACATTTATTGTACAAATAATATCCTACACATATTTTCTCTAACCATAAAAAGACAATTTGGGAACCAAATTAAAGCTGGTGTATAATTTTAGTTCTTTTTTTCCTCAGGAAATCAACAAGTCAGCTGATATTAAAGTCAGGGATTTACAGATTGTCGACAAGTAAGGATCTTAAGATGTAAATGAAATATACATCTTTAATTTCAAGGACAATGTATCAATAATAACAGCCAAGGCTCTAAAGATTAATTGATCCTTTGATAAGAGGAAGATAAATAACAATTATTTTCTTGAAAAATTATTAAAATAAATTTAAATGCAATTTCTTTCAAATATTTCATTGCAATGTATGATAAAACATTTTTGCATGAAAGTATTGTATTTCTTGAAAATTGTTTTCATGGAGACAACAAATGAGAGTATTTGAGCTATAAAAAACAGACTAATGTTGATGATGAAATGTAAGAGATTTTTTTCCTTCATGTGTAAATTCTGTACTTGTTTTTGCTTTTCATCAATAGAAAAGATGTAGATAAACTGAAGGAAGGTGAAATAGAGAAAACAAAAACGTGTTCTGCCCTGTGCTGGTCTAAAGAATCTCTCTCCGAAGAACAACTTAACAAGCTTCAGGAAGTCAAGGTACTGTGTTGTATTGGTCAGTGATTTATATATATAAGAATAAGATTTATGTAAGTGTCAAAATTCGAAAAAGAAAAATAAAGTGTCCTTGAAGTAATAAAGACTTAACTTCTTTGGTGCCAGGTTTACATGAATATATTATGGACTGGTCCTGATATAAAACCTGTTTAGTGAAGCAGTATGAAATATCAAAATAAACTATTTATTGACAGATTATTTTAAATTTCCTGGCATTTTATGTTATGTACAAAAATAGTGACAAAATGTTTTAAAGAATAATCAGATCTTCTTACTCTAATGCACTAAATTATTTTATTGTACCTACCCACATTAATTCATTTATCAAACATTGATCTATCATATATCTGCACATCTCCATACCAATGTAATGACTTTTAGCTCACCTGAGCCGAAGGCTCAAGTGAGCTTTTCTGATCACATTTTGTCCATCGTCTGTCCGTCTGTCTGTCTGTCTGTCTGTCTGTCTGTCCGTCTGTAAACTTTTCACATTTTCGACTTCTTCTCAAGAATCATTGGGCCAATTTTGACCAAACTTGGTACAAAGCATCCTTGGGTAAAGGGGAATTTAAATTATTAAAATGAAGGGACATGTCCCCTCGCAAGGGGAGATAATCAAGAAAAGACAAAAATAGGGTTGGGTCATTAAAAAATCTTCTTCTCAAGAACCACTGGGCCAGTAAAGCTGAAACTTATGTGGAAGCATCCTGGGGTAGTGTAGATTCTAAATTGTTCAAATCATGACCCCTGGGGAAGGGCGGGGCCACAATGGGGAATCAAAGTTTTATATAGAAATATATTGGAAAAATCTTTGAAAATCTTCTTCTCAAGAACCACTGGGCCAGAAAAGCTGAAACTTATGTGGAAGCATCTTGGTAAAGTGTAGATTCTAAATTGTTCAAATCATGACCCCCGGGGGAAGGGTGGGGCCATAATGGGAAATTAAATTTTTATATAGAAATATATAGGAAACATCTTTGAAAATCTTCTTCTCAAGAACAACAGGGCCAGAAGAAGTGAACCTATGTGGAAGCATTCTGTGGTAGTGTAAATTCTAAATTGTAGGAATCATGACCCCTGGGGGAAGGGCGGGGCCATTATAGGGAATCAAAGTTTTACATAGAAATATATAGGAAAAATCTTTGAAAATCTTCTTCTCAGGAACCACTGGGCCTAAAAAGCTGAAACATATGTGCCCATGGAAGGATCATGGGGTAGTGCAGATTTCAAATTGTCTAAATTATGATCAGTTGGGTAGGGTGGGGATGCATTATGTATAACAAGGGGGAAATCTGGTAAAGAACAGAATGGTCAAAGCTTCTCAGGTGAGCGATGTGGCCCATGGGCCTCTTGTTAAAAATTTAATTTTTGCTTAAATAAATAATGGGAATTAAAAGTGAAATATGACTTTAAGGGTACTTAGCACAAACAAAAAAATTGATGCACGGATTGATATATATTTTTTGACACACGCGAAACCTTGTCACCGCGTGTTAGAATATTCAGAAGGAACTATAAGCATTTTCAATACTCTAGAGACACCAAATGTTAAATGTTTTATTTCAATTTAATGAAAAACTTTTACCTTGAAAAATTAACGTTTTGTGCGTTAAAAATTAATTTGTCACCTTTTTCCTTGCAATGTTTGTTTGCGTTATTTAACTTTGCAACGTCATTTAACGTCATTTGATGTCACAAACGGCTCTTACATCTATTAATCACGGCAGTTTTGAAGGGCGCTAAAATCACATTTAAGATGGACAAAATAATCAATTATGAAGAAGGAAAATTAGAGAATGTAAATATAAGCATTGAATTCATATTTTTGGAAGTCTTTGGTCCTATAACACACTTGGGCGTGCCGACAAGTTATCATACCGCGCTAACGCACGGTATTCAATTTGTTGGCACGGCCAGGTGTGTTATAGGACCAAAGGCATCCAAAAATATGAATTCAATACTTAGGGAGGAATGCCACATCAACTTTTTATTTTATAGATCTCTGAGTCAACCTTTTTAAACAATGGTTTCAGCATTGAAAGGCCGACATTAGCTTTTAAATTATTTTATATGAATTTTTTCAAAGAAAATGAAAAAAATTATTTATATCCAAATTAGATGCTTTCTTGCAAAAATTTTGCTGTTAAAGTATGCATCACATAAATACCTAAATAAAATATATACAGAAAAGCTGTATAGATATTAATTTTTTTTAAATAAAAAAATATTTATGAAAATAAAACACATAATTTGTGAATATTTTTTAAATTTGTAGTTAAAATCTTCTTAAAACCAGTCACAACTGGGAGAACATTTTCATATATCATATTTATAAAAGAAATTGAAACGAAATAGCCAAATTTTAGAGAAATTAATTTTTTAAATTTTGTCCAAACCCTATCAAAATTAAACCGACCCCAGCCATAATTGTATAATTATTGGAAATAAAGAACATTTCCCTAAGAACACTAGTCTGGTTGGGTATAATAGGGGTTAAAATAATACTGAACTTGACAATGAAATAGATTTCTTCATTGTAAATACATGAGGAGTCAATAAATTAGCATTTTATTCATTTTGTGTTAATTTTGATCAGGATCAGTATAATTTTGATTGGGTTAGGTCCAAATATTAAAAAAATTTATTTCTCTAAAATTTCTCAATTCCATTTCAATTTCTTTATAAAACATGTTGTCCTCAGTTGTGACTAGTTTTATGGTGTTTTTAACTATAGGTTTAAAAAATATTTACAAATAATGTGTTTTATTTTCATAAATAATTTTTCATAAAAAAAATAAAAAATGTAACCAGCCTTTCTTTGCATATTTTATTAGATATTCATATATGATGCATTCATTTACAGCAAACTTTTAACTTGAAAAAAACTTATTTGGATGTAAATAATTTTTTTCATTTTCTTTGAAAAAATACAAAAAAAATCATATAAAATAATTAAGAGCTAATATCGAACTTTCAATGCTGAAACCATTGTTTAAAAAGGATGACTCAAAGATCTATAAAATAAAAAGTTGGCGTGGCATTCCACATTAAGTAAATCTATGAGAAAAATTACTAATTTTTGAAAAAAGTTTGTGTGATTTATTCTTAAATAATCATTGAATAAATGTCATATAATGATGTGATTTGCTTTGTATTCTACTTTCAGGATCTTGTCATTTATCAAAAGACTCACATTCGAGTCCTACACCGGCGCCCTCTGGCGACAAGGGAGAGAATCGTGTAAAGTATGTCAGCGGAAAAAATGATGACCTTCATTTCACCTTGTGTCTCTCAACACAGGCCGGCACGTATCCTTATATGGTCATGAACTGTATAGCAGGTTAAAATCGCGGTCGGAAAAGATCGCGATTTGTTCAAGTTTCTGCAAATCGCTGTCTTTTGAATTCGCGGAAAGGAAAAACCATACATTTTTTAAACAGTACTTTTACACATTTTCTGTAGGTATATATTGTGTTAAGTGCTATTTTCCGTCTCTATAGTATATTGAATTGTGAAAGTTTGTAATGTATATGTCACGAATATCAGACAGAAAAGTAAAGTTTATATATTGTGCCGAGTTTGATCCAGGTTGAAAAATAATGAAACACCGGATTGATCCCAATTTGAAGTCAAAATAATGCTACTCATTTAATTTTTTTATTTCCGGCTCCAAATCAGAAAAAAATTAAACCGTAGTCAAAATGTTGAACCTTTAATCATATAATTGAAATTAATCAATTGTCATTACCCTGTTTACTATGTTAATGCCTTGATTAAAGGTAATGACTGAGTGATACGTACGGGTGAAATTAAACAAGCATGTTTTATTAAATAATTATATCGCACGTATACTATATAGCAAAATTAATCGTTAGCTAGAAAAATGAATTAAACAATTAATAAGCTTTAAAAACACCAACAACTACGTGTTTGTAATATTGATCTATACACTCGCATATTTATAAAGACAGTCTACACCTAATCACAGAAAATAAATTAAAAAAAATTCAATTTATCCTTATAAAACATTTAAAGAATTATTCACTGTATTTTGAATTCGCGGAATTTCTTTTTCCGCGAATATAGCGAAAATTAACTCCGCGAGTTAATTTCCTGCTGTACAGTATTATTTTATAAAAAATCAAATGAGGAATCTGGATATTTCTAGACTCCTTTAATAAAAAAAAATTCAAAAATTATAGGGTATCAGGAACATAGGACATTTCTATATAGAATCAAGTTTGAAATGTTTATACACGTATGTGTATTAAGCATGCAGTATGGGGTTTTTAAAGCTTGATGCAGGTGTGTTGAATATATATGAACCTTAGCTATACATTAGCTACATCAAAGAGTTTGTTCACGGAGATTTCGGTAGAACTACTCCAAACCTTGGAACCCTGACTGGAGTGGAGTGTGATATTCTGGAACTGGATGTACAGGTGAGTTTGAACTTAACAAGGATAGAGAAGTAGTCTAGCGGTAAACTGTGAGGTGTATGATTAAACTTGGATTAGGTGTGTCTATAGAAGAGATGAAACTGAGTGTTTTTGGAATAACCATAGTATTCTATGTATATGTAATGCAGATTCAAAATTTTTTCCAATTAGGTCAATTGGAGCAAGGAAAATTAAGGTTTGCAGAAAGGAAAAAAAATGCATTAACCTAAAATAAAACTTCTTTATCCAAACCTCAAAGCTATAAATAGTCAAAATATCACAAAGTATTGTTTATTCAATTGTTTTGTTAGACGGTGCTTTTGAGATTAGAATAATCCAAGTATGACTTCAAAATTTTATATTAGATAAATACCAGAAATTTCTAACTTTTTATTTTTCGTTTCCAACAATGACTCGGTATTGATAAAAAACAATAAGATTTTGAAATATAGAATAGTCTTTGATATAGGTACGTTAATAACTGTCTCATTACATTCCAATGATGAAGGGTGATTGGAGTATGACTTGAATGAGAGTTAGTATTCACAGATTTGTTTAAAAATTAAAGCAAACTTTTGTTATATTCTTGTTATCATTTATATTTCATAGAGTGTTGAGTTGGATTGGCCTCCAAGCTTAGAAGAAAGCTGACAGATTCCTGTATCCTAGACTAAATAAAATTTATACCCCAGTTCAATCCTTGTGTTTTCTTTCTTAAAGAGAAGTTTGTATGCCTGAAGCTTGCAAACATTGTTTATTCACATTCTAGGAACCGAATGACTTTCACCACTCTCTTAATTATGTAGCAATATAGCACCAATTATCTACTGCATATAATAAAAATGTCTCCCAGTTGATTCAATATACTAAGGTTTGTTCAGAGTACTGTCAATATCTAAACTGAGGCAGATTATTGAAAAACTAGTTCATGTTGCATGGGTATAAACGGTCTAGTTTAAAGTGGACAATTTGCAGATCCTTTTGTTGATACATTTCAACTAGTTTATGTATCCAGTGTTGACTGGTGCTTTCATTCAAATATTTTTAGAAATGAAATGACTATGGAGGGCTCCACAACATAGAGCTCATGCACACCACCACATTTCTTAGGATGCTGAATATAACTGTATACATGTATAAATCTAAACTGAAACAATCTATTAGAAATGTATTTAAGGATTCATACTACCAGAACATTTGTTTGACATGCAATTTGGTCTTGCTTATAAATAACACATTTGTAATGTTTGATCACCAATGTTTTTACTTCTGTTCAGTTTGACATTTTTTTCAATTTTAATTACGATTAATCGGACAAGGAAAACACCTTCTTGTATGTATTAAAGAACACATTTAATCATTCAAGCGATGTAATTTTTGTCCCTAGATATACTACCACTGTTCAGAAAAATAAAAAAAAAACCAAGGTACTAGTAAGTTGTAATAGTGCAGGTTTTCTGGTCATGATATAAACTACATGTTTCGGAACCCTCTTGGGAATTGACCCAGGAAGTGATATCACTAACAGATGGTCAGGAGGATCTCTTAACCTCCCTTCCTTGTCCTGCCTGTCTGAGGATTCTCCAGGTGTACCTAGAGGAAGAGTTTCTCTACAGAGTAAGTGACCAGATCTTGTGTTAAACCATTCTTAGTAAACTTCAGTGTTTGTATGCAAAACCTGAATAAATTTCCTCATGCCACATTTTAATAGATTCTAATTTATATAAATTTGTATTAAGTACCTACATGTATATGAAGTGTCTATAAATTTTCCTTTGCCACATTTGAACAGATTGTGGAGACAGTTAAATCCAGTGATCATCAGTTTAAAACATACATTTTTTCACCGACCACACCCGTGTTTTTCACTTCTTCGAGAGGTATGTAACTGAAGATCAAGATATATATTTAATATAATTATCTAATATTATAGGTTTAAAGGATTTCATTTACATATTCATATAATTTGTTTATAATGTGACAGGAAAAAGTTGTTTTAACTTGTTTCATTATAAAACCTCAATCTTTCGTTTAAGCATGCTTTCCTTCTGCCGCTAAATGAAAAGTTTAAGTGAGTACATTTTACCTGACCATTTCCAATTTCTCCATCATTGTGTCCATTCCATTATCCCTGATTGTGATATGAGGCTTGGGTTACTTATTAGAACTATATGTCTGTTTTCAGATCTCTGTATGAGTGTAAATAATTGATAGAGGACATAGCGTCAGTTAAGGATGTGTGGAAATGGAGGAGTGGTCCTATTTTAGCAGCAGCTCTAAATGCACCTTTTGAATTCAAGGTTGATTTTTACAACTTTTCACATCACTGTCTGTTAGTATTACATGTGCATGTACAGGGAATGAATAGTAACAGATACAATTTTAAAATCACAATACTTACTGTAAAAACTAAAATATTTCATACAGAAAGTAGTTGTAAAGTAATGGTTTGAGTTGTGCAATTATTGATTGATCTGTAGTTTCTTTTTTTTTTTGGAGGTCCATTTTTAGAATCTTTGGATCTTATAGATGTTATATTTAGGAATGCACACTGCCAGAACATTTGTTATGTGTGAAAATTTGTATTAATTAAGAGACAACATTTACAGAAAGTCTCATAACAATTGACTACCAATGGTTATTTTTGTAGAGCAAGTTTGACATTATTCTCAACTTTACTTACGACAAGTCTGACAAAGAATGCACATTTTTGTACGTATTCAATGACAGATTGTTCATCTAACACATACAAGTGATTGTAGTTTTTGAACATTGATTGATATAAGTTCCTTTTGTCTCTCATAATGTTTTACTTAACCATAAAATATCTGTAGGTCCTACCACAGTCCAGCATTATTTAGAAAAAGGAAAAATACCAACAAAAGGTGAGTTTGACTTTAAATGCAGGTTTAGTGTGATTGAATTATCAAAAATAAAGTCAGCAGAAATGTGATGATAATTTCGGCCATGCTGGAAATATACATACTTTATCATGTTAAGTTTACTGGGGAGGGGTTATACATATAATTAAGGGTAATATATGATGCTGGTTGTGATAAAAAATATTTAATATCGGGTGTGATCCAGGATTATTCAGATGATGCTGGTGATAAAAATATCTATTATTAAGATCTTGAATTAAGTTAACTTACATAAGCATTCAACTTTCATTGATTTTACAGAATTATGGAGATACCTACACAAGGACTAATGTAGTCAAAGTTCTATCTGACATCACAGATGGGTATTTTAAAAGGTTTGTATAATGTCTTCTTAGCTCACTTCAACACAGTAAAAATATATGCTTATGCTTACCCCCATGTGACCAGCATTCCAGTCAAAAGTTTTGGGAGCAGGTCCATTCCCAAGTAACCCCAAGCCCATCTTAGAACAAACTTACAATTGGATGATGCATCTACAAATGAACACTTCCAGAATTGCTTCAGATGCTTGATTTCTAACCTAGATTTTGTGGATAAGTAACCAGGTTTAAGTTTTTGATACAAGTTGATTCATAAGTAACTGTAAGACAATTGGTGTCTGAACTAGCATGGATTAACACTATCAGTCTTGCTGCAATTACTGAATCTGGCCTTCTTTTTTCTGCTTGAGTGACCATGTTACAGTACTGATTATTCTCAAGTAGCTCTCAATCCTATAGGAGCCGGTTACCTGTAAGATGCATATAAGGATTTTATCATCAGGAATACTTCAGATACTAGACCTGACCTAACTTAATTATAAGGCCAAAACAAAAAATAGACTTGTCTCCTTCTACTTCTATTTTTTTGCATCTGACCCTTAAGTTTTTTTTAATTTTGGGGGGAAATAGGGAATTTCAGGAATTGTTCAAAAAGTGAAGAAAAAAAATATAATCATGTGATATATCATGCTGTATGTTCAGATGTTATAATATCTAATTTTAAAATATGATGTTGATCTAAGACATTTATTATATTAGTTCATATTAACACTCAAAAAAATAATTAAAAAAAAAATTGAAAGAAGAAAATAATTTTCCAACCTACCTACCCTATTTTTTTAGGCTGCCTGCAGGAAACGACTATAATTTTTTTAAACTTAATTCTAGACAAGGATGCAAGGATTATTCATTTATGGATGCACATTACCATACTATTCATTTGTTGCGAGACCTGACCTTACTTCCAAACAATATTTGTTGAAATGATCGAGCTTCTTAATCTTTGAATAACCATGTATCATTACTCAGAGTTGGACAAAACCAATAAGTGCTGTTAATTCTTTGAACTGTAATATATTTTATTTTTATCATACGGCATGGTTTCAAGATAACAAGTATTGACTGTACATTGTAAATTATTATTT